GCGGAGTTAAGTGGATGACCGGAGTCAGACAGTATTTTGTGAGCCAGTTTATCATAGGCTTCGGTGTATTGGGAGACTACATGATGGATTAAGTCAGTTTTTGGTGAACCACAACACATGGATAAATGTCAGCAACCAAGAAAGAGAATGGTTAAAAATAACACGTAAATATTTCACTGATTTTCCCCGATGAAGGGGTGTATCGGTAATGAATAGCTACTGTCACATCTCGAGAGGATCAGAATATGATTCATTGTGGTCCATTGTGTGGATAGTTACCCAGTACATTAATCCTTCACTCTGAATAATCTGCGTTCGAAGTTTTTTCACACATGTGTGTTTTTTTAATGGTCGGTTCCGTGCAAAGTGATGACGAGTCCTCATTGATTTGTTTATAACCAGTGTGTTTAGTCGAATTCCCCTTAATTGTGAAACGATTCTTTCCGAGTTAATACATATTGACCGTGATCTCTTAGACGTACAGTGATGTTTATACCGCTGGTCAAGAATTGAGCCCTTGTTCTATTTCTGCTAACTGAAAAGGATTTCAAACACACTATTTCCCCTAACTTAGTTGCCTGTGTTCTGATTATGCGTCTGCGTAAAATTGAGCCTTGCCTCCCCATAAATTGGTCTTCATTCGAAAGAATTGACTTATTTCGCTAAGAGATCCTTTCCGTGGGTTTAAAATGAAGAGATCTGTTCAGAAAACGCTTGGTTAGACCTGTTTAATCTTTCTATTCAGTTATATTCCTTACGAATATAATCCCCACTTATGGCCATCTTAAGGTAGATGAGTCATCCTGAAATACGGCTTAGTGATGGGCATACCATCATTCGTTCTTTGGGGGTGTACCTAAGCCATCTTTATCGAACTGTCTTTCCTGGTAATTGGTTTGGACACCGAATCTCGGTTGCCAATAGCTCAGTGCATGAAGCGTGCGTTTCCCCAATGCACAACTCAATCCATTGAGTTTTATCGCAATTTGACGCATTATTGCATGAAAACTGATTTCCACGTACCTCCGGTTGGATTTCAGATCGATGAGTGCAAACGAACGAGTAAACATTAGTGAATTCACTGTTACTAGNTTACTAGCTGACTGACCGTTCGTCAAGCACTGATTCTGAACCACGCCTTAGGCGGGGCTGTTCTCTTTCTTGCCATGGTGTTGTACAAATCCCATGTTATGGATGACCGAGATCACCGGTCGTCGTTCTGCGCATAGTAAAATGCAACACCCTGACAGGAATAGAGATCATAGTGCATGGAATGAATTTAGTACTACCCTTCAGCATTACTGAGAGAGGCGAAGTGGTCCTAATGTTCTTGCTTTCTGACAGCGTACATCCACAAAAACTGGAAAAATTCTGAAATCGGAGACACCATGTTTTTGTTTGTGTCTGCACCCTTTCACTTCGTAGGTTTGTTTGGTGAAGATGGTGCGGATAGACGTGAGCGCCTTCGGATGATTCTTGCTGTCAGTGGAGGGCCTGCTCAACGTCCTCCATTACCTGGCTCTTCCGGAGGCACTTCGGCTGGCGGTACAGGTGGAGCTGACGCATCTGCATCTGAACCAATTCGCGATGTAAGTACTGATTTGTTTTATTAGTAAATCTGAACTTTTTGTTAACACCTATTCCCTTAGAGGCGTAATCAAATCGTGATACATTGCTTTCTAATGCTATCGGAGTTATCAGGAAAAGGACGAGGCTATTGCTTGATAAAATCATCACAAATGCTTCTAGATTTAAAATTAAATTTATTTATTGAAAATAATACGTTGATAACGGAACAACGGGTATTTGAACTGAAAATTGATCCAGCTGTTTCACAAAATCTGTATTCGGATGACGAAATCGAACCAAGCGCACTCAGTCATTAAAACAGTAAGTTTGTTCTTTAGACTGGAGTTTCTTGCGTAATTCAAATGCGTCCCAAAGACCGCGCAACAGAATTTTCATCTGCTGCTACTGCTATATACTGTTTCTAATGCGGACGTTCACGTGACCTTCTATCGTGATGTTTCTCGAAGCCGTTTTCAGTTTGACTCTCCGAAGCGTTGCCATGGTCATGGGATAAATGGCATCTGATTTTGATCGTTGATATCTCGAGAAAGTCTTCTGCTTGTGTTAGCTAGCTATCCATTCACCCGTGATGGGTTGCAGATATTTGGAACCCATTTTCAATCTTCATGGGAAATTTCGCAGCCATCCATTCCAGTAAGCGGGGATTTTATCGGGCTATTGATTAATTTTGTGACGCAAACTGAACGCAATTCATAATCTTCATTCGTCCAAACATTTGTCCCCAGTGTAGGTGATCGAAATAGCACAATGCAAAGTTTGATTATCTAAATATGTTCTTTGAGTGCTTTATTGAAGTCAAGTTGATCTGACACTGGTAAAAATGCAGTTATCAAAAGTTGCAGTTTTTATCAAAGAAGCAGCAATATATGTGTAACATCTAGGAGGTCCATAGTGCTGTTTTTTTTCATTACACACTTTCGTGTGATGAACGGCAGACAGGGTAAACCCCATAGTCACGAAGACCTGCTGTTCAGTGATGGAAACCGGCAACCTAATCCCCGGGACTTGGAGTGGCGGACCACATAAGGCTCCGATGGGTTAGGCGTGGTATTGAACCGAACGACAGCAACGCTGCCTACCACCAAAGTTGGGTGACAGTGGCGGGTCCAAAACACACCTGTGACAGCGAGTAAACCACTGCTGAGGTAGTGAATTCTATGATTTGATCTTAGCTCGTTGCAGTTTCTGTCAAAATTTTGGTCTGTACTTGTCGTAAAGAGCAGTGTTCGCTGCTTGCCCAAATGTTCCTCACATGTGGATTATTCGATGAGTGGCTTCATCTACTACTCAATATTTTCAAGGTGAATAGATTCATGTGTACATTGGTCGTTTAGGCGAAACAGTTCATTCATTAATCAACAACTGGTGAGATTGTGTCAGCGGGTTTCCACGCATTCCTAATTTGACCTAGTCCTCAGATTATATTCGCAAATCAGGTTGATTCCAGCTTGACTGATCACTACGTGTGAACTGTATCCGAGCTTCACTTTCTCGACCCCGTTTTTGTAGGTGAGCTTTTTCTGTGCTACCTGAAACTCTTCATTATTTTGATATTTTTCTTTTCTGAACAGTGGGTGCACGAAAATGTCAAATGTTTCTAAACCGGGGAAATACAGTGGAGCAAATTTCGCTATTTGCTATGAGGCTGATTGGCACAGTCCACAACGTACGTAGTTCGGAGAGCAATGATCAAACGCGTGGAGTTCAGAGTAAATAAAATAAATATCAACTTATTATGGGGATTCAGAGTGGTTTTGTTTGAGTGTAGGACTGAAAGGTCAAAAAGAATACATTAATCTCACTGTGCGTATACAGGACTTCACCTGGTGGGGAATGACAATAATAATAACATTGCTGCTAGTCCTCAATTAACCGTTTAACTGGACCTTGTGATCCCAGAGCGTTAGACGCGAGGCAGCCGCACTACCTATTTTCTCTGCGGTTCTCACATATTGTCTTCACATCACCTGTTGGTCTGCATCATCCTAGAGCGGTGACTAAAAACGGGGGTGCACCGCATAGAGTGAATGGTAGAATTGCGCAACACCCATCTCAGTTGCTGAACTCCAATCATCCGAATCCATTCTGGCAGCGATTTTTCCGCCGAGGCTCACCTGAATACGCAACGGTTTACCTCAATGTTACTCACTCGATCACTCTTTTCTACCTGCACCAAACTCTGTGGATCTTGGCGATCGGAAACTCTCAGTCAACGGAAATCTAACCAACGCCTCAAAACATCTCATGACCGGAAAACGGACCATACAGTTGTACATTTTACGTGACCTTTCAGTTCCAGTGGAGCGTCTTGTGGATGCGGTCGGTATTTTAGTCCACTTTACACCGTTCGATTCTTGGATTTTTTTGTCATCCTCTCTTTTACTGTGCTTGTCATTCGTCACACAGCTGCCTGGTTAGAAGAATTAATGAACCTTAAAGAATTTCCTTCAATCGAGATCTTCAAACCCGAGTTTTTTCAGCGTTCAGTCGTGTAGATGCAAAACAGTCACCGAAAGGAATAGCGGAACCTGTTAGTCTGTTACATGAGTTTAACTATCCGCGATGTATTCTCAGCCGAATTGTTTGATTTCTTGTCCGTAATTTGACGGGTAACTTCATTATATAAATAAACAATGAACTGTTCGATAATTTTTGGGCTATGTTTCTTAACGTTTTTATCCATCGTAACATTGGGTCATCAGTATTGTTTATCAAAACACAGAACGGTCCTATGATGAGTCCACCACTCTGTTCCTACAGACAGATGCATTTGACCTCCTGTCTGTTCGTACCTTGGTGTGGAATGCATCAATTGTGTTGTCTATGATTTCCGCAAATATTCCGCATCGCTCAATTGTTTTTCGTCATCGTCATGATAACCAGGCGGTAGAGCAACGCTGAGGTTAGGTGCAAAGATCTAGGTAACCGCGGTCACCCTCTGCAACAAGTGATTGACCTCCATGGACTGCGTTGGTTGGGGCATGTGCTGCGCATGTCGCCAAACAGGTTGCCACGGCGAGTGATATTTGCCGAGGTAGGTGTTGGGGGGAGGAGTGAAGGGCGGTCAAGCTCATACGTGGCATGAGAGTATAAAAGCCCTAACCAGGGCACTCGATCTTATAGGCCGCGTTACCCTTCCTGATTGGGGACGGGCTTAGCGTAATAAATGGTTAAAGACACTGAGTGATATGATTGAATGTCGTAAACAGTAGTGCTCGTTCATCTACTCATGACCTTGTAACCTTAGCTTCCATAAATTCTTTCTTTTTCACTCCCACGCTGATTTGAACATTCAATTCTTCCCTTCACTCCTTCATCCAAACGGGACGCCACGAGGCAGCGACCAAAACTGGCGCACGAAAGTGCATGGTTAATGGTTGCAAAAGCTGAACTGAACTAATAGCCAGTTGACAGTATACCTTTGTTTACGTTTACACGATTATCTCTAACTAGAGAATAAGTCTCGTCTATGGTCATTGTGGATCGTGGATTGTGAACTGGGCGCAGATCTGCACTCAGTTTTCCCCCGGAAAACGAAGTAACTCAGAGAAATTCAGTCTTCTGATTAGTTCAGATACCTGTCAGTTGATCTGATGCTTTGCAATGTCCTAATCGCTCAGCTCTGTTATACTTTGATTGGCTGCTTCCCACTTCCTGAAAACTGTATCCTCGTTTACTCAATAAAAGGAAGTAAAAATGAATACTATGCTATTGCTCTCTCTCTCCCGCCTTCCCTGACTAGGATACTACAGTGTGGTATCATCAAGGACCGGCCAGTTTGTCCAGTGCACGCATGTGGATTGCCGAGTTTTCCTTATCCCGTGCGAAAGTGCGCCTTGAACGAACCAGAAAATACTACGCCAGTATGCCAGCGGCTTTGCGCAAAGCCAAATTGCAGGAGTATCACAAAGTCCTCCGAGTAAGTTTTCACAGTTCTCCGTGAGCTTCTGCATTTTGTGAATTCTGCACATGCAACTTGTCCGTTTGTGTGTGTGGGAATTCCAGACTAATCTCTCCGTTCCGCTGTTTACGAATGGCTATGGATATATATATTTCTTCTCGGACGCCACGGGTTATGCTCATGAGTCGTACTTTTAATTTTGTTTCGGTCAGTGCTCAGTTCAGTCCGGACCCGGACAACAATTAGTCGTGCACTAATTGTTCGTTCCTAGTGTGCCTTGTAGAAGAAACGGAGAGTGGTAACCAGGATGTTTCTACACTGTATTTTACGTCGGAATTCAGTGAATTGCTATCCAGTTTTTCTTGTGCAGCGATAACACACACTAGCCTAGCGAACAAGTTTGTTCCGGACAAATTCTTCCATCGGGCTTATAAGGTGTTATGGTACAAGCAGCTTGTTCCACTACCTTATATATGACTTGTTGCTTCGATTGGTTTGTAAACTGTCGTATGGAAAGTAATTAACGTGTCACTTTGTTTGTGAAAGATTCATACCCATCGGATCAGTGACCAATCTCAAATTGAGATCAAGGTGGTCGGATAAATTGTACCAATCGCTTCCGAGAGCAAAGTTATGGGTTGGGTAATGGAATTACTACCATGTCAACGGTTATGCGATGACGTTCAAGTCCCGTCAGGCTCCCTGGATAGGGACCTCGGGACAATCGTAATCCATGGTTAGAGACACTGGCGGCGTGTCGTAAAGTGGCGTTCGTGCATCTTCTCAGTTTCTTTGCAACGATAATCCAATGAAATTTTTAATTTTCTCTTCGAGTCCACTTTCAACCTTCCTGTCTTTCTCCTACTGTTGATCCAACTGGGCAGCCAACAAAAGCAACCAAAACCGGTGAATAAAAGTACATGCTTAATGTTTGTTCGAACTGATTTGACGCTCAGGTGTCTATTTGGTACCCTGTAGATTATTCTGAATGTCATTATTTCCTGTCCGTGTGGTTGCCTGGGCAACCGGTCAGGTTTCGTCAGGCTGTAAACCCATGCTCGTTCTGGGGCTCGCTTTTCCCAATATTTCACTTAGCGTGCAACGTAAACTAAACTGGCCCATGTTGTTGCTAGCCTTAAGAGCACCCTTAGTCATCAACCTGTTGTTTATGTTTATTTTTCACAATCAAAATTCAATCACGGTTTCGTCAACAAATGTCGCGAGTCTCCGATTAGGTTTTGCTCGAAATATTCACCGTTTCGGATAAGAGTAGTAGGATTTTGGAAAATACCACGATCTTTCGCAGTCAAACATCTGTCACATAAATAACATATCAGTATCCTACATTTGACCGCCAAATGAGGTAATAATATACCATTTGCAGTCATTCTTGCCCTATAATTGTGTTCTATATTAAGGAAAAACCAGATGCATTCATCACCAGGATTAACCGACAGTTAGATTATGAAAAAATAATTGCAGCCCAATCAGACCTTTGCAATAAGAGATAAGACAGTGATCTTAGTCCATAGTTTGGCATAGTTCACTAAAAAAACTCAATATCGAGTAATCGAAGTGGTTGTAAAGAATTACAATTTTTCATCGAGAATCCTCTATCTATGGAATCCTTGTATTGTTTTCCTTACGCCTCCGTTTAAAAAATAATGGCGCTCAAGCACTTTAGGCGGTTTCCATCAACCGATCGTCGTTTGTAGGGATTCTTTAGTAAGGATAACTTGCCGTCCGCCGGGTGAAATAGCAGGGGACTGGAAACAACGTGAGCTCCTGTTAACAATACCCATTATAGTAGCTGAAAAAAGACAAGTGGATTATTCTTCTTCTAGTATTGTAACGGTCTACGGCGAGCTGAGTAGTTCGAGAATGTTCATTTCACTATTCCTGTTCAGTTTCATCGTAGACGAAATACTGCAGAACTCGCCAAGTGGTCTTCCAACATTTGATATTGAATGCTATTCTATGCAATTTCGAGCACACTGACTATATCGTTTTCCTGTTAGAATTTATGAAGGATGCTTAAAGCGTACTTGACAGACACATAAGCTTTGTTGTTCCGTTCGGCATGCGATTTGTACTGATTCTGCAGACTTGGTTACTTGTGTAGTTGCGTAACTAGCGACGCACTTCCAAAGCCTGAGCGGTGTACGTAAGACTGAAACACTGCGGCTTATTTGCAGTGGCCGCTCCAGACTGGCAGAAATCACGCGGAGGTCAACAGGTAACATGGAGACGCGGTATGAAGAAATGCACATAGCTATTAGGTCAGAATAGATTCTTTTTATCGCGGTTGAATAATGCACCAGATCTTGTACAGTCACTCAATCGTACTTGATATCGCGTATGCCAATACGCCTTCTCAAGGTTTTCGCTCTTGGCTGCTATCAACCTAGTTTAACCCTCGTTTTGGGCGTTCTGCTGGGGTGCGACGACGATGCGTATCTTAGCGTCTTCGATCCGAAAAAGGGAATTGGATAAGTGATGTAGGTGAATGAGGAGGAATATGCCACAAAGGTACATATATACATAACTCCTTTTATTCCACCCTAAATTATTTAGGGAACAAATCTTCTGTGCAGCCAAGTTGGAGATGTCCGTCCATTGACGATGTGCCGCTTCTCCCCGGATGGCGCTCAGTTAGCCTCCTCTTCTTGGAGTGGCTTGTGCCGTATCTGGTCCTTGCCCGACTGTAATCTGGTGTCCAATCTGCGAGGTCATACGGCTCCTGCTTGTGCCATTGTGTGGCATCCTCAAGCACGACTGCAACCGGAACAGCAGTTGGCCCTGGCTAGTTCTGCACAGGTATTAACCGACTTTTTTCTGTCACAATCTGATACGAGTAATTCATCTGTTTTTATTTTTCGTTCAAAACATTGCGGTCAGTATTATTTTTCATGCGACACACGTGAGAAGTGAAACAGGATCATGAAAGTTTGGTTTTCTTTTATTCCTTGTTCCCTGAAGTGATATGTGACTAAAGTTGTCTGATGTGAACCGGTTTTTGTTATGCAAAATCGACTTCACTCACCACTGAAAAACCTCGTATACCCTTTCCAGATATTTCATGGTCTTTGCACTATCACCGGCAAGGTATAACCGTTGAGTCCATGAGGAGGAGGTTATGAATCTGCCACACTGAGTTATCTCCGCTGGCTCCCATCACGCCGACACAGCTCGCTCATGCTTGACTAAACGTAATGACTATGCTTTAAAAGAATTTTTAGTTACAAACCCAATATTGTGGATCATATAAAACATGTTCCCATCATGCACTTTTGTGAACTGTTGTCTCTCAATTATGCTAATAGAAGAGGATCGGTTTTGATTTCGCTTGATCGGAATTATGAACTAATAATTTCTTCAGAAAATGTGTGAATATATAGACAGTAGTTCCCCGGGAAGCACATGAATAACTTCACGGGTGATGTAGGTCATCAAAAAAATACTTATCACTGTTTGAATAAAACATGTCACACGGTATGAGTAGAATTTATATTGTTCATCAATTTGGCGTGCTCTATCACTGTGTTATCAGAAGATAATACATTGATGTCTGTTTGTGTTCACTGTTGTTTTGCTCCCTTCATATGCATTGCTCTATCCAATTTCCATAGGACGGAAGTGTGAAACTCTGGAGTCTAGACAGCGAAGAGCCGTTAGCTGACATCGAAGGTCATGCACCTCATCGCGTCTCCCGTTTAGCTTTTCATCCGTCAGGCCGATTTTTAGCCACCGCTTGTTTTGATCATTCCTGGCGGCTTTGGGATCTCGAAGTCTGTGAAGAAGTATTGCATCAGGAAGGACATTCGAAACCGGTGTATGATGTCGCTTTTCACCCCGATGGATCTTTGGCCCTGACCACAAGTTTAGATAGCTTTGCCCGTGTATGGGATCTCCGTACCGGACGCTGTATCATGTTCCTAGAGGGCCATTTGGAAGGTTTGCTTGGTGCAGATGTTGCTGACAACGGCTATCATGCTGCTACAACAAGCTCGGATAATACTGTTCGTATCTGGGATTTGCGGCAGCAGCAAGCAATCTATGTCCTACCGGCTCACAACAGTGTGATCGCAAGTGTCCGGTTTGAACGTGAGTTCGATCTTCTCAGGGTCTTTTGTTTCCGCAGTTCTCTATTTCAAGCTATTCGGTTTTCATCATAGATCCATTTTGTGTTGTCATGGGATTTTCGCGTTTCAGTTGGAAGATAGTTTGTTGCCTTCCCGGGGAAAATTCCTCACCACTACATCAGATGATCAAAGGGAAGATTTAAGTTTTCATTGGTTTAACTGGAGGAGGATTAAGATGCACGGAGTATTGCCACCGACAGGTTGAAATCCCAGCGGTTGTGTGAAATTCCAAATCGATGTAGCTTTGATCAGTTCCCGATACAACTGTTGGTTTGTATTGCCCTCCTGAATGCTCCAACCCCAGCAATTTTATCCATTAAACTATGTATGGTGTCTTTCTCAAAACGCTCGATATTCTGAACCATGGTATGTAGTAAATGCTGGCAGCAGATCATTACTGGAAAACAGGCAAGTCCTAACTGGATCGGAATGATAGAATTCAATTGTTCGATCTGGTAGTTTCACATGCCGTTTCTAACTTCATTGTCCTGAGTGAACATTGCTGGGTGTTCGGTTTCTCTTTATCTCGTTAATTCGTAATTGGTACTCCGTACTATCTTTGTTCCTTTTTTATCCATTTTCTCGCATTTTAACCGGGGCTGTCGTTCTCGATTGCAAACCAGATAACTTCGAGCACGAATGCTAGTCTCCAATTCATTTTATCGCTAATTCCTAGTCTTGATTTTCCTTCTTTAAAGATCATTCGTTGAGTTATTTTTATCATCAAATCTCACAGAATTTATCACTTCGTTCGTGGTTAAAACTTTTAGGTTTACAATGAATTTTTCACTGTTTGTCTCCAAAAATAAATTATTGTACCTACAGGCTCTTGCAAAAGTCGGCTAATCCCTGGCGTGTGATGTTCAGATACCCTTATCTACACTGCAGCGCACGAGTCTGATCCGACGAACGGGCAGATGGTGTTGAGTTTAGACGAACCGTATTGGAAAATGGCTGTCGCGCTTTGTTTGCAGTTCCCTGGCCACCATAGACCCTAATGACCGATTTTACCCATGTTACCGGATGGGTTTCCCCCACGAGTGATGTTTATCAAAGAACCAGCAATTTGTAGAAAGGGAACGGTGGCCTAAAGATATGAACTTGGTCAAGTGGGTCGGGTTCGGCTTCCTGGTCGGGAACCTCGTAACCAGTCCAATCGGCGGTTAAAGACGCTGCGTGATATGGCGACATGTCGTGAACAATGGCCTTCACGCATCTACTCTCGGCCTATGGAAATCTAACTTGTCAACATTGAGTAAATCTAGCTTGATTTAGTCCTTATGTTCCTAATTTCTCTAATGGTCGACCGAAGGGAGAGCTCAGAGTCAGTGATCGAATATTGAGAAACTCTGAGAATATATGAGCTCAGAATTACGTTTGTGCTATTCAGTGTAATTTAATGTCACAGATTTGTTGTGTGCATCCATATTCCGACGCATGCAGTTTCATCACTTCTGTTTACGTCAACCGCTACTACTATCAGCTGATTCCTCTGTGGCGTTTTCACTTGTTTTTTTAGCTCGACAAGTGAACTACCTGCTGACAAGTTCCTTCGATAAAACTGCCAAGTTATGGGGACATCCGGTCTGGGCTCCGATTCAAACACTACAGGGACACAATAGCAAGGTTGTATATGCGGATATCTCACCGGATGCAAAGACAATTGCCACTTGTTCACACGATTTGACCTACAAATTGTGGAGTCGGGAACATGACTAACTAGTCCTAACTCTGTGTAATATTCGTTTTTCTTTTTTGTACAGTGTGTCCTTTGCTCCCAGCGTTTCGTTCTTCTTCATCCTAGTCTCACTTGGTTGAACTCCGTAGCTTACATTTGCCAATTGCACTTAAAACCAAGTTATAACTTCGTTGCCTGTTCATAACATATAGCTGACGTCGTTATGATATTTATTTGCCGAGCTTGAGGAAACGACACGAAAACAAATGCCATCTCACCTGAAACAATCTACAGAAAGCTGCAAAGATCTTCACACGAAAGCTGAATGTGATCTGTGATCACAACAGAGATGCGGGTGTGAAATTTCACT